ATCCTGCTTATACGTTATCATTAGTGTTATATTTAAAACAATCAACATATTTTACTCACTTCTCTGCATCTATACTTTTTTTTTTGTCATGCCATGTGGCTTGTGGGATCTTAATTCCCTGACCAGGGACCCAACCTAGGCCCCAAACAGTGAAAGCACAAAGTTCTAACACTAGACAGCCAGGGAATTCCCACTGCCTTTCTACCTAATGGTGTATTTTAGAAATCTCTATAAATCAACTGTAGTAAAGCCTGGCTTATAAGTTATGGAGAATGGACACTTACTTGAAAATTATTATGTGACTCCTAAATGCAGTTACTGTTTTTACTTAATTGTTCATTTAAAGTACTTTTGCTTACATCAGTTTAATGTAAAAATAGAAGCTTAGGAGGCTTTCTAAAATGATAATATGGAGGTCCATGCCCTTCAAATTGCATAGGAATACATGCAATTTGTTTATATAAATACACTATCCAGTGGAACCAAGTGAACCGTATATTCCTAATTATCTTCCTTTCTGTCCCTGACAGCTCAGTTGGTAAAGAATCTGCCTGCAATGCAGGAGGCCCTGGTTCAGTTCCTGGGTAAGGAAGATCTGGTGGAGAAGGGAAAGGCTACCAACTCCAGTATCCTTGGGCTTCCCTTGTGGCTTAGCTGGTAAAGACTCCACCTGCAATGCGGGACACCTGGGTTCAATCCCTGGGTTTGGAAGATCCCCTGGAGAAGGAAAAGGCTACCCACTCCAGTATTCTGGCCTGGAGAATTCCATGGACTATACAGTCCATGGAGTCACAAAGAGTCAGACATGACTGAGTGACTCTCACTTCACTTCACTTCATAAATCAACTAAGAAACATATAAGTCACTGTACTAAGAGCTGCTAACATCCCATCTTACTTTAGTGTTCATATCCATTTTCCCTTGTCAAGATTTCTGTGTGCACATCATGAATACACATATAAAGGATCTAATTATTATTATCTGAAACAAACTGGAATTGGGTTTCAGCAAGATTCCTTCTTTTTAAACTATTCTTTTCTTTTTCTTTGAGGATTGTTGTATTTATTTTTTAATTGAAGGATAACTGCTTTACAGAATTTTACTGTCTTCTGTCAAACATCAACAGGGTAAAGGGTCTGTTTCTAAACTAAACTGACATTCACAATCACTGCTGTCTGAACCTTCATATTCGTGCTGTTGTGTCCCTTCCAGGCCTTTATCCCGGACACACACATGGGTCACATCACTGACATATTCTAGCTTTTCTGCTGTGTGGGGAAACCATCTCCAAGGCACAGAAGTAAGGCCAGCACACCCCAGTGTCCTCAGCAGAAGCAGAATAAAAACAGGACACGTCTCTGCGAAGGGGACATAGAGCCATGCACCACGTGGGTCTCGAAGAAAGTGCGCAGGCCCGTGGTTGTGAGCCTCGAGAGGAGACGGCGGCACCGAGGCAGGGAGGCCCGGGAGGCGGGGAGAAGCCTCTGTCTCTCCCCCGAGTCACCAGCGCCGCCAGCAGCCCTCAGATGTTGACTCAGCTTGGCTGGCAAGCGGCTTGGCAGTGGGGCCCTTGCTGGGTGGGAGGCCAGGCCCTGCTGGGGCTCGGAGACCAGCTCCCGAGGCCTCCTCCTGCCTTCCCACCCAGCCTCCCCTTCCTGGCTGGATGCAGCCGGGTCTGGGCCAGCACAGGGCAGGAAGGACCTGGGGATGTTGGCCGAGGCCTCTGTTACCTTGGCCGGAGCCTGCGGCTCCTTCGCAGTGGGGGCCTGAGGCCCGGCATGGTGGATGCCCAGCCCTCCATTTCCCTGGGGATGTGTGGTTTCTTAGGCCCTGCTGTTGTGATCCTCTTCCACACACGGACCAGACCTATTTTGTTTCTTAGGTTATGACAATTCTCTTTTTCTCCCAATACCTATTCTGTGTCTACCGGTGAGAACTCACTTGGCAGAAAGATCCACCTCCAGCTTTCACAGAGAGACAAGATAGACCGCAGATATCAGATCGCCCCAGAGCACACAGGTGGCTGACCGCAAGCACACACGGAGCCGGGAGGAGAAACTGGGGACCCTGCCCCTGACCTTCTCTGGAAACAGCCGCGCACTGACCAACGAGGCCTCCAGAGTCGGTTCAGAAGGCGGCTCCACTGCTGCAGTTGGCTATGTCATCTTGGGGGAAGCTACTGAACTTGACAGAGCCTCAGTTTCTTCTTCTGTGAAATGGGTCTAGCCGCCCTTGCTGACTTCCTGTGCCGGTTGTGGGTTAAAGGCATGTAGAGTGCTTAGGGATGCAATAGAGGTGAACTGCGACCATAGACAGCTTTCCCTTCCCTCCTGGCCTCAGAGTCCACACTTGGAAAAGACGACTGTGAGAAGAGAGGGTTTCCAGGGGGCTCCTGCAATCATAAACCTGTATCGTTCTGAGATTTTAATAAGGTTTGCTAATTCTTCCCCAGAGGTCTCCCAACACTCTGTGGACTGTCACTGAGCCGCCTCTCAGAAGGCAGCTGTCGCTGAGCCTCTCGACTCAGAAGGCTGTTCTGCCTTCTGCCTCTGCCCACGTGTGCGGGACGTGGCTTCACTTCACTCGGCTGGCTTAGGGGCTCCAGGAGGGAAGGTTCTAGTGACTGCCACTCACCTAGCTGCTGATCAAAGGGACCATCTAAAACCACCAGGCGCTGTTTGCTGTCACAGCCACAAGGCTTGTGGCTTTTAAAGGCAGCAGCTGGGGATGGCTTCCTGGGCAGTCATAGGGGGCCCCTCGCTTCGAAGTTCTCTGCACATCTAACTCTCTGCTGTTGCTTTCCTGAGTATTTCTGAGCCAGGGCTCCTGCATTTCCGGTTTGCACTGGCGCCTGCCCAGCGATCAGTGGGTCACCCCTGCAGGCGGTGCACGTCCAAGGTCATGACTGTCTATGCTACTCGTGTGTGTGTGTGTGTGTGTGTGTGTGTGTGTGTGTGTGTGTAGTTGTAGATGTGGTTGGGGAGACGGGGAATCCTTTGGAGTTTTAAGTTGCTGCACTAAAGCAATGCCTCTGTTAGCACCCCGTGCAGGAAAGCAGCCCATCTCCAACGAGGAGAGTTCCCTGCACCAGGCCTGGCCCCGCCGACGGGAGGAAGCAGCGGCCTCAGCTGGGCACCTGGGGAGTCAGGGAGCTGACTCATGGAAATCTCCCAGCTCACGTCGCAAGACGGTGATTTTTCTCTGCCCAGCTCTGGTGTCTCTCCCAGATGATGTATGAATTGCCTTATTTACCTTTTCCTTCCAAACCTTCTCCTTCATTATTTTTATTAATGCCATGCCAACACCAAAAAGGTGTTTCCTTTGCAAAAAGAAAAAAGGAGGGGTGGGGGGAGGAAAGAAAATAACCCCCAATACCTCATTCCATTCACATAGCACACAGCAGAGGGAACATCTATTTAAAAATAGTAATATTTAGCTGTGTGTGAGAGAGAGAAGGACTTAAAATGGGTTGGTTATATGAAAGTCTAAAATCGGAATACCAATAATAATAAAGTCAGGTCTTTATTTCCAAAAGGCCACAGTACTCAGGAAAGTTTTACTATCTTTATTGACAATAAAAACGTTGCTGTGTTTAATGCACTTTAATTTTAGGAGGAAGGGGAGACATGCTGCCTCAGACCCAGGGCAGTGTCATAAAATCCACGTTACTGGGTGCCAGTACCCACCGTTCCGCCCGTAGCTGCCATGGTCATCTGCCACTCAGCACTGGCATTTATTGGCCCATTAAATCTGCGAGACTCCCTGTAAGGTAGGTGTGTCCCCATGTCTAGAGACAAAGCTGAGGTTTGGAGACATTCAATAAACGTCCACGAGGTCACACAGCTCCCGTCAGAACCAACACTGGAACGCAGATCCATCTAGCCCAGAGCTCACCCGCATGAGTTCTCACTATCCTCCTTGCCTGGGTTTATAAACAGGAGCTGCTCTGGTTGGCTGTGGCAAAAATAACAGTCACAGGAGCCCTGCTCAACTAGACTGCTGATGGGTTACAAAGGCAACATCTCAGGGGTGGGAGCCTTGAGAAGCCATTGTTCTAACCTGCCCGCCCCCCTCCGCCCCCCAAAGCGTGGGCTTCTCCGATGGTCCTTCTAGAAATCCTTCCTTCTTTGATTCTTCCCCATGATAGAGTGCTCACTACCTACAGAGGCAGCCTCGTTTGTGACCCATAGCTCTGTGAGTGAGAGCATCTGTCTTCACCTTAAAAGACAGATCTTTTCTCCTCTGCGCTTGACTCCAAGCTGCCGGCACAAAGATCAGGCAAACCCTTGTGTTCAGCAAAGGCTCCGCCCCCACCCCCTCACTGCCCCCACCTACACCCCCGCACCGCCCCCACCTACACCCCCACCTACACCCCCGCCTCACCCCCGCCTCACCCCCCACCTTGGACTCTTCCCGGCTGGACACGGAGCCTTCTTCATTCTCTCTACTGTTTTCCCCACAAACCGATTGCCAGGCGATTTTCGAACCAATTCACCGTACGTACCCATCTCTGGCTGAAAAAGAAGTCCCCAGCTCTGCGTATCTGCACATGACCTCTGGGGTTTGCGGGTACATACTTGGGCCTCCATTCCACGCAGGGGACGTGACCCAGGACTTTTGAGGAGGAGGGATTGCTTGGCTTCTGAACCCTGAGCCCAGCTAGACCCCCAATTCAACACCCAAGCTGCGCTCTCCTGAGAGGCGACCCCTCTCTACCCAGCAGCAGGGAAGCCCTTCAAGGACCCCAGAAGGTGAGACTGTGCCGACTGTGAAAATGATTGTTGGACAGAGCCCAGAGCATGCCTATTTGAAGGCGGGGGGCGGGGGTATGGTAAAAACATCAGAAAGAAACAGATGTGCCCAGGTCAGGTTTTGTGGCAGGAAAAACTGTGGGTTTGCTGGTATCGATTCCACTCTTCCAACGGATGAGGATGAATGGCTGTGCGCTCCTGGGACGAAGGGTCCCGCAGAGCCCAGCGCCCGCGGGGCTCTCCAGGCGCATGCACCCACCTATGCGCAAGCGTGCACCTGGGTCAGCGGGCGATGCTGCCTGCCGTGGGCGTCGGAGGGGGCCGAAGTCCCATACAAAGGTGGTGACTCCTCCCCAGAGGCGTGCCCTTCCATCCTTTCCTGATGCGCATCGCTGCCAGCAGCTGCAGCGACAGAACTCTGGGCTCACTTCAGGAAGGTGCTTGAAGAGCCAGTGTGGCGCTCACGCGCCCCAGCACAGTGATCACCGGGACATGGGTTGAGAGAGACCTCCCCCAGCTCCCCGCGAGCAGAGGCCCCTGCTGCCCACACAGACATGGTGCATTTTCGCTGTCCCTCAGCTGAGGTTGAACAGAGAGGGAAAGGTCCCGGCTCAAGGTCACACAGCTAGACGGCGGCACAAGTGGCTGGCTCTAGAGAAGGTCTGCCTTACTTTGAGCTCCCAGTGACTCTGAGCTTGGGGGAGTCTGCAGAAAGGCCAGTCACGCCCAGGAAAGCTGTGCTCATCTTGCGGGGGGGATGGGGGAGTCACAGAGGGCCCAGTACTGGGGCTGGACAGCTGTTTTCTAGACAAGTGGGAGGGGCTTCTCTGGTGCCTTAGACAGTAAAGAATCTGTGTGCAGTGTAGGAGGCCTGGGTTCCATCCCAGGATCAGGAAGATCCTCTGGAGAAGGGAATGGCTACTCACCCCAGTATTCTTGCCTAGAGAATCCCATGGACAGAGCAGCCTGGTGGGCTACAGTTCATGGGGTCACCAAGAGTCAGAGATAACTCAGAGGCTAACACACAAATACACACACCCAGACAAGTGGGAAGAGGCCTTCAGAATGTTACTGAGTGAATGAATTTCCCTAAGACTGATATCTCAAAATGCACTCTCAGGCACATAGAAGGAACATCAACTTTGGCCCAATTTCTGAGTTCCCATGACAAAGAGAGAAAGGACAAGATGCTATGCTAAACAATTTACAAATCCTTTTTGTTTAAAAGTTTCTTGAAACAACAAGACAAGGTATATGATCGCTGTCTATAGATAGAGCCGGTCTATAGATAGAGCAAGAGGCTCGGAAAGGTTAAGGAAATCTGAAAAGGTCACAGAGCTAGTGATAATAGACACAGTCATCATTATTAATATAAAACATAATTATTTTGCTGACATTTATCAAATACTCTGTACCCAGCACTGCTAAGCCCTTCCCAAGGATTAGCTCATCTATGATGTGCTTATGAAATGTGCTTATGAAGATAGCAATTTTATTATCACTATTTGACAGACGAGAAAACTGATTCAATTCCTGCTCTCATTTTCAAAGCTCTTTGCCACTATGCAGTGGTTCCCAAACTGTGTTCCATGGAGTTCTAGGGGTTCCATGGAATCTTCTTGGGAGCAAAGGAGGAAAGACCTAGTCCCTCGGCCAAGTTCCTGCCCTGTCTTACCCCAAAGCAGCTAAGCTTTCATCTGTTTTATTTGCTGCTGTTTTTTCATAAGATTTTCCTTAAACAAAGGTTTCCATAGCTATAAATGTTTAAGAATCTCTGAGCTAGAGCCTGTATCAGGCACATAAAATCTAGGATTCTGGTTTTCTTTTGCTAGGGTCATGAAACACTGCTTTCCTGTGTGTGCATTCTGGCCACGTGGTGCCAGCTGGCATCACCCAGGTTTCTGTCCTTCAGTCTGTGCTGCAGGACCTATGGCCGCTGAGGGCTGACTCTGGTCTTGGTGCCATGGCCCCGAGCTTGCAAGTGTGCGTGCTCAGTCACTTCACGTCTGACTCTTGCAACCCTCTGGACTGTAGCCCGCCAGGCTCCTCTGTCCATGGGATTCTCCCAGCAAGAACACTGGAGTGGGTTGCCACGCCCTCCTCCAGGGGATCTTCCTGACCCAGGGATCGAACCCACCTCTTTTACATCTACTACACTGGCAGGCGGGTTCTTTACCACTAGTGCCACCTGCGAAGCCTGCCCCTGAGCTTACCTGTGCCCAGTTTCCTCTGCAAGATGAAAATCACAAAGGCCAGCTGATCCCACCAGGCTTTGGTCTAGAATCATCAAACAGTGCTGTGCGGGATACATCTGGGTACTAAGAACTGCCTACCAACAAGGCAGCTGTGCGTGCTGGTGGACTATCTACTGCTCACCTACTTTGCTCCCATATTTTCGCTCAATTACACATTTTCATGGCCTGGGCCGTTCACCCAGAGGCCCCAGGCAGCAGACAAATTTTAAACAATTTAAATGAGCAAATAACATTCAAATAAATGTCCATTCTAGCCTTCTAGGTCTAATCTGTCCCTAAGACTTGGGGTCCTTTTTCCACTCTGGCGGTTTTGAGGAGACAGTTGATTTAGTCTCTAACCAAAAAGCCAGGGACCTTTCTGCCAAGCCACAGAACTCAGCGTCCATCACCTGGGAGCTCAAGAGTGGCTTCTCTCCTCAAAGCATCAGAAAAGACCTCAGCTGACTCTACTCAGTCATCTGCGGCCACCCGAACAGGAAAGAGACGCGAAGAGGGGATATATGTACAAGCATGGATGGTTCGCTCTGCTGTACGGTGGAAGCGGACACAGCAATGTAAGCATCTAGACTCTGATCCCACCTGCGTTGCCCTCCCCGTGTTACTGGGTAATCATATATCTGGAGACGTATGTATGCACAGCACTTAGTTCAGGCCTTCCAGACATTATTGTATTACATTCTCTTAATGATGGCTTACATCTCCCGTTTTACTAACGAAGAAATAGAGACCTGGAGAGGAGGATTCAGCTGCACAATGTCACACTGCTGGGAAGCAAGGGGCCTGAGAGGTCACTGGAAGCACCTGAGTGCCGAGCCAGGGCCCGTAACCATGGCACGATGTGGCCAAGGATGTCCTGACCGCTCCTCGGGGAGCCGACGTGGCGGCGGGCCGTGGGGTCCTTCTCTGGGCTTCTCAGGGGTGAGCTCCCAAGGCGGCATGGGAAGTGACTGATGTAATACCCCAAGCTTTGAACTCAGGGGGACGCACCTTGTAGGGCTCTCACGGGGAGGCCCGCGGACCCCCAGTGGGTGTTCTTACTCAACAGACCAGGTGGAGTAGTGGTTAGGAGTTTGGCTCCACAGCCAGCCGACCTGAATGTGGTCCTGGCACCGATTCTTACCAGCAGCTGAACTTTGGGAAAGTCACCTGGTCTCTCTGTGCCTTGGCTTCCTCATCTGTGAAATGGTGATAAGAGTTCCTCCCAGAGTAAGGTTATCATGAGGATCAAACAAGTTAATATGCACAAAGGACAGAGTACAGCACCCGGCACGTGGTAGGTGCTTTGTAAGTCTTGTGTGTGTGTGTATGTGTGTATGTGTGTGTGCGCGCGTGTGCACACGCACACTCAGTTGCTCAGTCACGTCTGACTCTTTGAGACTCCATAGATGTTACCTGCCAGGCTCCTCTGTCCATGGGATTCTCCCAGCAAGAATACTGGAGTGGGTTGCCATTTCCTACTCCAGGGGATCTTCCCGACCCAGGGATTGAACCCTCACCTCTTGCATCTCCTGCACTGGCAGGTGGATTCTTTACCACCAGCACCATCTGGGAAGCCCTTGTAAGTCTTACCTATTATTACTAACTCTGTTATATACATGAGGACTGTAAACTCCTAGAGGTGGAAGACCCACGTGCCACACACCTGTGCTCCCTGGCACCTGGTATAGAGCAGATGTTCAGTAAGCATCAGTGAGCCTGCTGATACTAATTTACTGCTTCTATCATTACTAATACTAATAATATAGCTATAGCTGCTTTGCAAAATCCCCCGTGCCTCCCATCTTGGTTGATCCTTATACCCTCCCTGTGGCAGCGCCTCTGTGATCATCCCCTCGGTTACACAGGAGGTGGTGGAGGACCACCAGGTAGAAGATGTGACTACGGGACAGATCAGAGAGGTTCAGAGACGCCCTAGGCCGGACAGCACAGACTGCAAACCTGAAGGTATCAGCCAAAATGCAAGGAACCTATAAACAAAATGGGACGCCCTCAGCGACATCCAAGGAGGGAGGACCCCCCCCCCACCAGGAGATGGGGTACAAAGCCTGCGAGGCTCTTCAGGCGGGCTGTGCTATTATAACTTGCAGAGGGGGTGAGCTCTACCCCTGACATATTGCATCTGAGGTCTGTGACCTGCTTTGTCTGAGTAGGGGAGTCTCTGCCCCCAGTGCCCCCAAGGAGAGCCATTCCCAAGAATCCTCAGTCTCCACCTTCAAGGTCGCGAGTGCCAGGTGCCACCTCTGGCACTCGTGGAGAACTGTCACCTCTGAAGCAATGCTCTCGGGCTCCCCGGCCTCTCTCTCTCTCTCTCCCTCCTTGCTGGCTGCAGTACAAAACCCAGCGCCTTATCGCTTGTCATCGCTGACTATCCCTGGCCCAGGGGACTGGGAGAGCCTGTCACCCGGGTGGCCTGGCAGCAGGCCAAGCGAGGCGACACGCGGCTGCTCCGCACACCCAAGTTCCCTGCTGTGGTTTCCATCGCCGTGACCGGGCTGGGTCGCGTTTCCTGTCCTAACTCACAGGCTGGCATGACGCTGCATTCCTCCGGGACGCTCTGGGCTTGCCGCTCAGGTAGCCAGCCACATCGCCAGGTGGGAAGAGAAACCAGAGCCCCGGGCCCTTGTGACCGTTCACTCATCTGGACTGGCCCCGTCCTGAGAGCGTGGCCCTCCCAGGCAGCCTCTCCTGCAGGGGCAGCTTCTTACCTGTGCAGGTGACTCAGGGCGCTGACGGGGAGACAAAACTGCATGGAACAAATGCCTGGGTGTGAGCATCCATTCTCGGAGCCCAAAGAATTACGCGCATGATACAGACAGCAGCGGCCTTCTGGGTCCAGGACACTCACTGGGAATCGTGTGCTAACTGTTCTGACCTCCCTCCTGCCAGCCCCTCCTGCCTTCCAATCCTGTTTCCATCTAGTAGCCAGAGGGATCTTATAATACAGTAAGCATCCTACATAGGAACCTTGGAGATGCAAACTTTCAAAGATGCTAATGTGTGTGCCAGCCCCTGTTGGCCAGCTGTTGTACTGTACTAGCATAGCTTTCAAGGCACTGTGCTGTAAGATTAAAAATGAAATCTTACTAAATCTAATTAAAAGTGTTTATTTTTGTTTTTACATACATTAAAATGTTTATTTTTCTGTGTTTGTCTGTCTTTTATGTCTTATGTGTGTGAAAGTATTATAAACCTATGACAGTACAGTACTATACAGCCGATTGTATAAGTTGGCTACCTAGGCTAATTTTGTTGGACTTAATGAACAAATTGGACTTATAAATGTGCTCTGGGGACAGAACTCATTTGTATGTAGGGAACTTCCTGTATAGATGAGATCAGGTCACACCCCTGTTTCGAGTCCTTCAATGGGTTTTCAGTCTTTTCAGGAAGGGAGATTAGAGTTCTCATCGTGGCCCTTTGGTGTGACACCTGCTTCCTGACCATGGACGTGTCTCACCCCTGTGAGGCCACACCGAGTCCCTGTCCCCTCCAGGGCTGGCCCAGGGCCCACAAAGGGCTCTGCAGAACTAAACGCCTTCCCCTACACCACCCTAGCACAGCCTCTTACTCCCAAGGTTCTGAAATCTGGATAAGTACATGGAAACACCCTCTCATATTTGCTAATTGGTGCTCCCAAGTCAGTGGTTGAATTTTGAGAGAAAACCTTTGTTCCTGGAGTTAGCAGAGCAGGAAAGAGCGCTGGAGTTGATCGGATTTGGTTCAAGTCTGAACTTGGTCACCGGGGTGGTCCTGGGCCACGTTCGCCTTACCTGCTGGAGCTCGTTAGCACCAAGGCCTGCCCGCCCAGTAAACCGTACGTGCCAGTGCTGGGCCAGCTCGGGCCAAACAACCATCTGGGCAGGGACACAGCCACGCCTGTCAGCAGACAGGCTGTCTAAAGACCAGAGAGCCCACAGCTGCCTCTGGACACAGCCCTGCCCACCCAAGGGCCAAGACCCACCAGTGGGCAGGCACTGGCCCCTTTCCTCCACGGAGCCTACACATGCCTCCAGACCAGCCCTGCCCACCAGGGGGCTGGCACCAGGAGCAAGAAACCTACAACCCTGCAACGCCAGCCAGACCCTACTCTGGGACCAGCTGGCCCCTGGCCGCCCTGCCCACAAGCAGATGAATGCAACCTTCTGGACATCCGAGACCAATCTGTGTCAGGAACACACTCCCTGCCCGCCGCCCTGCCCGCACCCCCCTCACCAACAACGATCTGAAATGAGGCCTGGGATCCCAGGGTCCTGCAGCCAGCCTCAAGGAGCCAGCTGCTCACCAGCAGGCCAGCACCAGACCTGGGGCCTCTAGGACTCTGCAACCGGCCACCTGTGACCAGGCCTCACTGAACAGCAGGGGTCACACAAGACAAGGCCTGGCAACCAACCAGATTACCAAACCAACCAAGCCCACCAAACCAACCAAGCCCGCCAAACCGCCGTCGCAGTCAGCCTGCCACACAGAAGTCCCCCACAGCCCTCCTACAGGGGACGGGGGGGTGCCCTGCTGGGACGCACAGGATGCCTCCCACAGAGGCCCCTTCTACAAGGTCGGGAAACAGCCAACCTACCACACCCAAATAAATACAAACAGCAACTCAGACAAAATGAGGTGGCAGAGGACTGTGTCCCAGGTGAAGCGACAAGATAAAATCCCAGAAGAACCAAGTGAGGTTGGGACAGGCCGTGTACCTGAGAGAGTTCAGGGCAATACTCATAAAGATGGATCAGGGATTTTCCTGGTGTTCCAATGGTTAAGGCTGTGTGTTTCCAATGAAGGGAGTGCGGGCTTGATCCCTGATCAGGGAACTAACATCTCACATGGCATGTGACACAACCAAAAAATAAACCAAAAAGTCAAACAGTTTTCTAAAAATCCAATTAGAAACACAAAAAGATGATCAAAGAACTTGGGAGAAGAATGGAAACACAGAGCGAGAAGTTAGAAGTTTTCAACAAAGAGCTGGAAAGTATAAAGAAGAGCCAAACAGAGATGAATTATAGGGGTTCCCAGAAAGAGAAGATAAAGAGAAAGGGCCCCAGAGACTATCTGAAGAGATAATAGCTAGAAACCTCCCTAACCTGGGAAAGGAAACAGTTACCCAAGTCCAGGAAGCACAGAGTGTCCATACAGGATTAACTCAAAGAGGAACACACCAAGACACTGTAATCAAAGTAGCAAAAATTAGAGATAAAGAGAGAACACCAAGAGCAACAAAGGAAAAGCCACAAATAACATAGAAGGGAACTCCCATAAGGCTATCATCTGATATTTCAGCAGGAACCCTGAAAGCCAGGAGGGAGTTGCATGATTCATTTAACATGATGAAAGGGAAAAACCTACAACCAGGAACACCCGACCCAGCAAGGCTCTCGTTCAACCTGACGGAGAAATCAAACGCTTTACAGACAAGCAAAAGCTACAGGAATTCAGCAGCACCAAACCAGCTTTACAACAAACGGTAAAGGAACTTCTCTACACTGAAAAGGCCGCAACTAGAAAACAAGGAAATTGGGGAAGGAAAAAGCTCACCGGTCAAGGCAAACATACAGTAAAGGTAGGAAATCACCCACACGCAAAGCTGGCATGGAGGTTAAAAGACGAAAGTAGTGTCCACATGTGCAATAAACAGTTAAGGGATACACAGAACAATTAGATGTAAAAATATGGTATCAAAATCAGTGATCGTGAGGGGGGCAGAGTACAAATGCAGGGTATCTAAAATGCATTGGAAATTAAGAGATTAGCAACTCAAAACAGTCACGTGTATATATAGAGCAGTCTATATAAAAACCCCATGGTAACCACAAACCAAAAAATCTATATTACATACACACAAGAAAGAAAAAGGAAAATGCTTAGATATTGTTCAGGGGAAAAAGGGGCACAGACGATTACAGCCAAACCCTGGTCCTCCGGAGACCAGGAGTTCTAAACCCGAGTTCCAACAGCAGACAGGGTCCCTATTTGCTTTTAGTTTAAAAAAAAAATCACAAAATATCATTGGATCTAAATGAGACTCCGAGAGTGTTAATTACATGGTAGGGAATTGTCTGCAAGCTCAACCACCATGGGTTTAATAGATGTACCTTCAGAAAAAAAAAAAGAAAAAGAAACATAGCACATTGATCTCTAAAAAGTAAAAGTAAAGATCTCCCAAACACAGATGAGGAAAGGAAAAAGTTCTCGCTCAGCATTTCACCCCACCATTAATCCTCAGGACACATTTCCTGCAGGATCTCTAGGTTCTTCCTGTTGTGGACTCCGGAATTACAGGGCTCAAGGCTTCCAAACGGAGCTGTTTCCCAACCACTCTGAACAAGGGCCACCTCCCTCTTCCAAGTCTCATAGAAGGAGAAAAAAAAAAAAGCAACCTTCCCACGATCACCAGCACAAATAATAGAAGAATTTCTGACAGGCTCATGTGTTTGAGACTCGGTTACTTCCTCTGCAAAATGGGGATAATACCATCAACTTCAGTAGAAACGCTCACTTCAGATAGTGACTGAATAAACGCTGACAAGTTTCCATATGCTTTCAGTGTGGAAGAGGCCCCGTACTAAGCATGTGAATAAATACAGCTCTCTCTTATCATCCTATGTGATGGCTATCAGTATTGTGGGTGTGCTCAGCCGTGTCCCACTCTGCGTGACCCCATGAGCTATAGCCCACCAGGCTCCTCTGTCCATGGGGTTCTCCAGGTACGAATATCAGAGCGGGGTTGCCGAGCCCTCCTCCAGGGGATCTTCCCAACCCAGGGATGGAACCCACGTTTCCTGCATCTCCTGCTTTGGCAGGTGGGTTCTTTACCACTGAGCCACCTGGGAAGCCCCTGGTATTGGTATTACCATCTCCATTTGACAGGGAAATTTAAGGATGGATAAAATGTAGTCGCTGCCTCCAAAGTATGCAACTTTTAGGTGGGAAAAGAAGAATATGAGTCCTGTCAAGAGAGAGGTCTGTTTCCTTGGGGTATAGCCAGCGCACAGGCAGATAATCTGAGATGTGGAGGCAGCCCAAGACGGTGCTCTGGGCTTATGAGATTCAGAGGAGTTAAGTATCTTACTCAAGGACACACAGCTACCTAGAGGTAAAGCCTGGATTGAAATTTAGGTGGCTTCAGCCCTGAAACCACGGACCCTCCACTGCTCCAGGGTCAATTCCACTGTCAGCTTCTCTGGGGTAGAAGTCGAAGTTCTCCTTTTTGCAGCAGTCTTCCTGTGTAGGCAAAACAGTGCCCCAGTGATTCCATTACGTGCAAGGATAATAAGCTTGCAAACAGAAGCCCATTTCGCCTACACAGAGCTGCTAAAGGAGCTGAGTTTGTAGTTTCACCTCCAGTTGCCTGCACCAGAAGAAGGAATCGCCACCGAAAAAAAAATATATATATATATATATATATGTATGTATCTCAATAACCCACACTATTCCATAGACATATATGACTATCTGCGTGCCTGGTACAGGGTGGGTACATCATGGCCATTTGCCCCTGCCCTTTGGGAGTTCACGGTCAAGCCAGGGAGATAAATGCATGCATAGTGCATGCATCTGAAGGCAGAGCAATG